TTGCTATCAGAGTCAGTGGCTTGGCCTCTCACATATCATTGCAGGTTCTAGTGTGGGTGGAACTCCCCTTGTTTGTTTTTCCCCCCTCAGCCTCTTCTTTTGAAACTAATATTTCTTATGTACTTTTTCTGGTTCTAAAAGTACCATACATTGAAATTTGGGAGCATGCCAGAAAGTCAAAAGAACAAAGTTGTAACTCTGTCCATGTCTTCTGGGGGGAGGCCAGTGCCAGCCCTCCACATCCTGCCTTCTGCTAGTGTTGGGAGAAGACCTATTTCTCTTCTTCTTTTTAAACGCTTGCTTTATATGACACCCCTTTTTTATAAGTTCATTTCTTAGTTCCTGTTCTGACTATCTTGTATCTCATCTTTTCCTCAGGATCAGAAAGGGTATCTGAAGGTTTGATCTACAGAAAAGAAGCTGAATGCTGCATTTTGCGATGTCTAGATAATAACAGTGCATTTAGTTTACTATGCAGCACATACTTCTTTACTGTGGATGCATATCAGTTGTGTATCATGTCACTGTCCTTGCTAATGAATGTGGACACTGTTCTAACCTGCACCATGGACTGTTTCTGTAACAGCCATCACAGAAAGCAGCAGTGATTTGTCATTGACCTTGTGTTTAACAGGGTTTATCCAGGTATTCAGGCTCCCTGGGTAGCACAAAGGGTTTGTTCTCAACTACTGATCTAAAGGTTAGAAGTTCAAACATACCCAGTGGTGCTATGGAAAAGCCCTGGCAGTCTGCTTCTGTAAAAATTACCGCTGAGAAAACTCTAAGGAACAGTTCTACTCTATTAACACACTGGGTCACCATCAGTTGTAATCAATGTGATGGCAACAGGTTTGGTTTTGTTTTTTGGTAGTTTGAGCATCAACACTTTGAAATAAAGGAGATGGCTATAGAAGATCAGCTATAAGGCAGGGCTCATTTTTCAGGACCAGAACCCCCATCCCCTATCCCAGGTTTACTCATGCCTGAGTCAGTCAGGGAAGTTGACATCGAGTCATGTCTGTTTAGAACAGTGATACAATCACCACAGACCACACACACATCTCTCTCTGGCTTTAGTTTGGAAGTTTTACCCCATATCATACTCCCTGTGCACAGAGCACTGGGCAAGATGCTATGAGAGACCAACAGAGAAAACCTGGTAGCTGCCTTTATTCAGAAGGGTGGCTCAGCCGTAGGTTGTCCGCTTGGTTATTTCTTAAACTCTGTGGTGATCATAAAGCTGCCCGCTCACCCTGCCCCTGCAGTCCTGAGGCCCTGTTTCTTCTCTGAGCTTTGTTGTCTCCTGTGTGTGCTCCTGTGGTTCTGTGATGGTCCCTTGCTCAGCTCCACTCCCTCTTCCTTGAATAACCATCGGGTCTCCCCAAGGTCTTAGAAATGTCTCTCTCCACACTTTCTTCTCTCAGTTGCCCCATCCTTGACTTACTGGCATCATTACTGTGAGTTTTTGGCATGTCCTGTCAGCTCACCCCTTTTGGTTGTACAGTCCAAAGTGTGACAGCCTTCCCCCCAGCTGTGGCATTGGATCCTTCCATGGAGACGGAAGGGCCAGAAGAATCAGAGGTGGTTTGCTCTCCCTGGCCCATGGGGGGGATAGTGATTTGGACTGGTGAGCATCTCCTCTGTGTGTATACATTTTCCCCAACATGTCCTGGTTCAGAATTCAAAGCATTGCAGATGCCAGAGCCCTCAAAGCCAACCACAGGATTAGGGTGCTGCCTCCATAGACTCAGATTCTTTCTGTGGGCATGGCAACCTGATAGTAACAGACCCCTCCTCACCCATTAGACTTACTTATCCAAGGTTAGTTGTAATTCCAGCACATGCGTCCATGGTAACGTTTAGAATATTTCACATAGGCTTGATTGGTGACCCCAGGTTATCACCTGCAAACCTAGAAGCAATATTGGCCACATATTTAATACAGTCTGTTCCACAGAGGTAGGCAGACCTATGCAGGGGGCTTTGGGCACTTTGAGGAGGAACCCAAGGCCTGGAAGGCCACTGTGATAAAGCACAAATTTCACAGCCCTCCCTGTAAGGAATAAAGGAAGAAGGAGCAGCCCGCTTAGCCTGCGAGCTGCCTGCCATGATGGGGCTTTGTGTGGTCTTCTCTGGAGGAACCGTCTGCTCCTCTCTTAAACCACACGCCCCATCAGTGACTGCACCCCATGCCTGGGTCTGCTCCTGTTCAGTTTCCGTGCTGAAAAAAGGACTTGATTCATTTGTAGACTTTGTTTCCCTTGTTTCTGCTTCTCCATTTCTTGTACTTTTTTCTTTTCCTCCTGTTGTTCCTTTCTCACTTTTTATGCTTTTTGTCCTCTGCTTGTTTTTTATTTCACCTTTTCCCTGTCCCTCTCCACTTCCAAATTCCTCCTCCTCTATTTTTTTTGTCTTCTCCGTTTCCTCTTCCTCTTCCTCTCCTTGTTTGGTCCTTTTTGAAGTTGAGCCCAGTGGCGGGACTCCACGGCGTAGACCTCTCTCCTTCTGCCCTTGCTGTGTCCATGAAGGTAATGTAACTTCACCCAACCTCATCCCCACTGCCTCTGAGGGGGTTGTAGCAACATTAGTCACATAGGGACCCAAAACCCAACTATTTCTCTTTCTTCCCCTTCCAGTTGATAGCCCTATTACAAAATCCCATGAGTATGTGGCAGTTTCTTACAAGGTACAGTATCCCTTTGACTGTCAAAGGGGAGGACTGGGTACAGAGTGAAGCAGGGCCTTCAGGTATAGCCTGTGGGATGGCACCAGGACATCCTACGTGATTGCTCCACCTTCCACAGTTGGAGCCTGTAAGTCTCAAATCCATCAGATAGAGGGGCCAGTAAAGCACAGGTGAGGAACCTCCCACCTGTGTGACAGCAATTTGTCTTGGTGGAGTCGAGGAATACTGTCCTTAGGAAGACTGGTCTACACAAAGGCCCCTGAGTTCTTTTACACAACCCCTACAAGCAAACTTCTCTACCCTCTGTCTTGCTGAGTGTGTTTTTTTAGTTTGTCTGATTTGAAGTCTGTTGTGGTGATAAGATTGTCATTGAAAAGGCATGTGGGAAGGGGAAGGGAAGTGTGGTCATGACTAATCCTTGCTAACCTCTTAACTCTGCTCTCGTGGCTCTCACATTGACTTTCACCCACCCAGCCATGCCCCTTGCTCATCAGCTGTGAACAATCTCCACCATAGCTCATGAGTGGTGTTCGGATGTCTCCCAGTGGAATTTCTTGTCTTTACACACAGGGAGGCAGGGAGGAGGGGGAGCGTTCCCAGTGCACTGACAGCTTGCCACACTGGACAGCTTGCATGCCTCAGGGCTCCATCTTCCACGGGCACGTGGGCACACTGTGCAGAGACGCTCCGAAAGGAATGCATGGAACTGAGCCGTGGGCTGGTCTATTGGGTTGGGGGAGGAGAGATGTGGTCCCCAGACACTCAAACAGGCACTCCCCAGGGGCAGGTGCTGCAGGCCAACAGGGAGTGCCCATCCTCCAGAGCAGGGCTCAGGGACAGGGCTCCATGAGAGAGCAAAGCTGCATGTGCCCCAGGGCAGAATACAGACACTAACCTCTTCTTGTGTGACCGCAACACAGTTCTGCTTCTTCAGAATGTGGGTAAAAGACTAACTGGCAAAGGTATCGTGTGTGTCAGCAAATAGCACTACATAAAGAGATTTGTCTTTGAATAGTGTGCAGAAAAGGCCAGCGGGAAGAATATAGGCAAGCAGTGAGCTCAGCAGCCTAATTATATGACAGGATATAGGATATACCTAAGGATGTATTACTTCATACATTTCTGGACTTGGCATCCAACTAAGTGACATAAAATGGGAGGGACTTGGAAAGATTTTTTAGCCCAAGGCCTCTTGACCTGAGGCCCATGGATGGACTTCAAGATGCTCATGAACACCCTGAAATTCTGTGCTCTGTTGTGCAATATGTATGCACATATATTTCCCTAGCTTTCATCAGATCTACAAAGGGTTTGGAATCCAAAAATATTTAACCATTGGAGCACTCTATCTGTTGCCTTAGACAGGACCACGTTGTTGCCATGAGCTGCTTGGTGGTCCAAAGAAAGACATTTGTTCCCTCCTTGGTGGTTTGATTTACTGTGACGTTCTTCCATCCTCTGCTGCACTTAAGCCCAGTGGACTCAGGCTGTTAGCGATGGTTTGGAGAGCAGTGATGTGCTGGGGCAGGGCCACTGGCATTAGCAGCCAGTCACTAGCTCTGGAAACTGCTGGGATTGGATCAGAACAAGAGCACTCACATTATGTAGTGTCTGGAGCTGCTGTTTCTCTGCCCTCGGTGGGAAACCGGTAGGCATCCCCGCATGTGCGGCATACATCACACAGGTTCCATCGGGATGATATTTATCAGGAAGTCTGATGTAGGCACAAATTGAGGAAGGGTATCTTCCTAGTCAGGATGTAAAGAAATGTTGAGGCATCAGTATTAGTGGCCCTAGAAAGGGGCAGTAGCCCAGGAGAAAGCTGGTTAAATGAGTGCAACTTGAAAAGGTGGGCATAGTAAAATTTATAAATTCACATTTCTCATTGGTTAGACCAGTTTCCTCAAAGGAGACCTGGTACATAGCTAGTACTCAATAAATATGGGGAGGAGGAAAGTCGAGGAGGGCAAAGCAATTGAAGATGGACCAAAAGAAAAGCACTAAGCAGGGGCCAGGGTGTCTGAAGGGGACAAACTAGCCTGTGAGGAATGAGCGGTCACCACTGGCCAAGGGGGTTATGGAGGGGTAAGAGGTCAGGGCCCAGGAAGAACAGACTTCAGTGAGACCCTGGGGGGAGGTCTCTAGTTCTCTGCCCCTCCTCCCATGTGCTGTAGGCAAACTCTGGGCCTGGCTTGGGAGTGTTCCCACAGCATCTTGCTCGGCTCTCTTTGCACATTTGCCCTGTGTGATGATTCCTGCCGGCCGGGTGGACAGCAGATGTTGCCACAACCTGACACACCCTCTTTCTCGGCAGGCATGGGCAAGAAAGACGACCCTAAGCTGATGCAAGAGTGGTTCAAGCTAGTGCAAGAGAAAAATGCCATGGTGCGCTACGAGTCGGAGCTGATGATCTTGTGAGTGGCCTCAGGTTGGGGGCCCAGCGAAGCGGGGAACGTTAGCTCAGGGCCTGTCACAGAAGAGCACTGGCCCTTCCTGATTTGGTGGAGTGAGGTGGCTTGGTCCCCCAAGTCACTGTTGCTTGTTTTCTCCTCTCTTTCCATTCTCAGTGCCCGGGAGCTAGAACTGGAAGACCGGCAGAGCCGACTGCAGCAAGAACTGCGGGAACGGATGGCAGTGGAAGGTAAGGGGGTGAAAGTGAGATGCACACAGAGGTGGGGGTGGGCGCTTCCTCTCTAGCCCACCAGACGTAATGTCATCTTTGATCCCACAGATCACCTGAAGACAGAGGGGGAGTTATCAGAGGAGAAGAAGATCTTGAATGAGATGCTGGATGTAGTGGAGCAGAGAGACTCCCTGGTGGCCCTGCTGGAGGAGCAGCGGCTCCGAGAAAAAGAAGAGGACAAGGACCTGGAGGCGGTCATGCTGTCCAAGGGCTTCAGCCTGAACTGGTCCTGAGTGCCCGCCCACCTCTGGCTGGTAGGTCTGTCGGCATCCACCTGACCCTGGCTGGGTCTCCCAAACCACCGGGATTCCAAGATCGGAGAAGGCCCGGCATTTCCTGGGAGTTTGCTCTCAAATGTCCACATGCTTCTTGAGAAGTGGGGCAAAGTCTCATGTGCTGCGGAAAAAGCCCAGGTGAAGATGCTTGCCTGCAGCAACTTGGCCTCCTTGGGAGAGGTCCACTGGACTTGCAACAGAAGAGAGAAGGCGGGGAGCATATGACGTTCGGTGTGCAGAAACCCGCATATTCCTTGAGGACGCAGGCTGGCTGGTGCCTCTTTCCTCCACAGGCAAGTTTGAGAAGAGCAGGAGCTATTCCTCCTGTCAGATCACAGCCACTGCTACGTGAGCCTCCCTGAAGAATGGGGCAGATGTTTTTTTCATTCTCCCTCTAGCACTACCAAAGAAACAAAAACACCCCCTACCAGAGTGAGCCTTGTGTAGAGACCAAGAGAGGGGAATGACCGCCCAGGGGGCACCAACCCCAGCGTCTTCGCAGGGGAAGCAGAAGGCTCAAGGCTCCCAAGTTCATTATGCAAGCAAGTGGGGGAAGTGAGGGGTCTGCTTCCTGCCCAGCCCTGCACCACACACTGGACCCCAAGTGGCCAAATGCTACCAGGCACCTCTCTGGTTGTAGCCTGAGGCCTGTGGATTGCTGCATTTTGCTTTTAAGTCACACCATTTCGACACTGGAAAATACTGACGTTGGGGGGGCCAGGGTAAGGCCCTGCATTTCAAGCCCAGACTTGACAGGCAACATCACTGTTTAATGCTTCACGTCGGGGCAGGGGGTTCTCTCTTTCTGGTGTTTTTTCCTGTGTTTGCACCTTGAAATGAAGCTGATGACCTGGCGAGATCCTCAGCCGCTTCGGACCCTTTTTACCAATTAACTTATTTTTTTAATACTTGAAAAGAAGCAATTTCGTTTTTATATCTTTACTAGAGACACTGATCACCTGGCACCTGGATGTAGGAGTGAGGGGCGTGTCCCTGTTACGTCTGCACGGCCTGTTCCAAGACTTGAGCGTGCGATCCACGCCTCTATTTATTAGCCTTCTTCATAGTGTTACTGACCCAGTGGGCTTCAGGGAGCAGCACAAGGTCCTTGCTCACGGCTTTTTTGTCCCCTCCTATACATCGTGTCCAGCCCCCTCCCCATTCACCCAGCGTCCTGCCCTTGTGCTGGTATGAGATGTGTACATGTGGACCATTCACTTGTCAAGAACACATTTCAGTATCATTTGAGGCTGAGCCAAAAGGCAAAGATGTGGCTCTTGTCTCCCCTGCCCTGTCGAAATCCTAGCCCTGCAGAGCCCGTTTTTCCTCACTTTCGGTGCCAGAGTCTCACCTCCCACAAAACATTTATTAAAGAAAGTTTTGAGGTAAGCCTCTTCTGGATTGATGGAGACAGTGGGGGTGGAACCTTGTATTCAGCCTGGCTGATGAGAAGTCCCTCATTTTAGCCTAAGGTGAAACCAAGTAGAAATGGACCTGTTGCTATAGGTAGGGAATTCAAGTTGGTCTTGCACAAACAGATAAGTAAATCCAGCCCTCTCTTGCTGGACAGCCAACTCCCTGGGACCAGGATCTTCATGGGGAGGTAAGCATCCAACTCATAGGGGTGACAAGCACCATGTAGCTAGTCCCTTAAGCCCAACTCTTGTTTATTTCTTATGGTTCAGCCAGAGAGAGTCTGGCTGTGTGCCACTCATTGAGCTGCTGATTGAGAACATTTGAGGGGTCTGCTGTTTGCCTAGTCATAGAGTCAGCTCATAGTAGGCCCAGGGAGGATTCCCAACAGGGCCAGACCAGTCTGGGATGGGGGCTCCAGCCAACTCCTTATAGAGAGGGGCCAGTATGGAGGGAACAGAGGCAACTCTGAGGCCTCCCAAGGGCAGGTCAGGTCAAGGGTCCATCCTGGCCTTAGAATATCCATGGGAACCATACTGTGCCTCAACTTGGAACACTAACTACGGAGGAGCAAAAAACCTGTCTATTCACTTTGTCCAAAAGCTGCCATCTCTCTCCTGTGAAAACCCAGAAGACATGCTGCTAGCAACTATCACACGCTCCAGTTTCTTCACTTCCTGTTTTCTGATGAGGCAAAGTCTCCATTTTTATTCTCTTTTCTTAAAAAAAAAAAAAAGCGTTGGGGGAGGTGTTCTAGATTCCATCTTCAAATTCCAATCTTCCAATAAAATTGGACCTAGGACAGGACCTTCATTCATTGCCTATGAGGCCTTTTCCCTAATCTCTTCACCTCTTGAATGCTGCTATGACTAGCCAAGCCCTGGAAGATCACCCTCCAGCCCTCATAGCCCCTCGTAACCCCTAAACAATGAAGCCCTTTACAAAGTTACTTGTCAGGTGATAAGCTTTGAGTGGCCTGATGAGGCAGGAACACCAGGTGTTAGCATCTGCCCCTTGCTGCTGCCCAGTACTTGCCAACCTTACCACTACTTCACCCTTCAAAGCACACTGCTGCCTGCAGTTACCAGAACGGGGCTGGAGACTGCACAGAGGCTGCAAAACTCCATAAGCCTCCAGAATATTCCCTAGCCCTTCACTCTCCACAGTGTTAACACTTCAAGTTCTAGCAGAGCACTTGTTTTTAAACCACTCCCCTTTTGTAACCAGTAGTTTTGATTTTAGTACTTGATGACATGCTACATGAAATATTTTCCACCTCTGAAAATGCATGCAGCTTCCCTAACCAGCTTTTCTTCCCAAGAGCTAAGTTCTCTAGAAGGTGGGGGAACCAAAGTGTATTTATAAAATGCCATTTTTTTTTTTTTTTTTAAATAAGCCCAAACGCAGGGCTACATAAGCCTTGCCACGTGGCAGTGGAGGACCAGGGTCAGCAGCATGGGAGTAAAGCCAGCCCTTGCTCCTGAGTTTGAGGGATCACCAGCACTGTGGTGGCCAGCAGCAGCTGTTCCATGGTTTACTCTGTGGAGACTCCCCAGCAGGGATTCTAACTGCTGAGGTGATGGCTTTGGGCCTTGGTCCCCATGAGCCATCCTCAGGCTGATTTGGACCAGCAATGACAGACTGTTCTTTAACCTATCGTAAGACAAAAAACTTTTCAGTGGGGCAAAAAGAAGAGAGTAAAAAAAGTGGGAACATCTGAACTACGAAGGGGAATGGTTTATTTTATGCGCAATAAAAGATGTTAAAAGAAATACATAGTGTATTTCTTAAGTCATTTTTCTGGAGGAAGCTGTGAGCCAGGTGCATCCCACACCTGACTCCCTGCCTGCTCTAGGAGGCTGAGTAATTTTGTATGTGCTGTATATATACGTGTATGTGAGGTTGTTTTAAAGAACAACTTTGTATAGTCCCCCATATTAGTCTGGCTCAGCCATTAAAACACACACACCCTCTCCTTTTCATACCCAACATGACCTTTCTGAACTAGAATTGGACATCTAGCACTAAAGCTGCTGGATCTCAACTCTGAGCCCTGGGAAATGGCCCTTTGGACTCTGGGTGTAGCCAGCTGTGGCCCTCGTGGGAAAATGTCTGAAGCAATCCAGTTTGATGAGAAACTGCTCTTCAAAACCAAGCCCCAGTACCCGCTTAAAGACAAGCATGGTCTCTGAAATAAGAGATAGTCCAAGTCAGTGACCCTCAGGCCACTCTCCCATTCTGGCCCACAGCTGACCAGTGAGCCCAGTGGTACCAGGTCTGCAGCTACCAGGACTTAATCATCCAGATGTTTTCAAGTCTACCATGTTCATTCAGTGCATAGGGCCTTGGAACTTCCCAGAGAGAATGAAATGAATAGTCCAGGCCAGCTCTTCTCTCTCTGGGATGCTTTTCCAGATACAGGCACACCTCATTTTATTGTGCTTCACAATACTCCATTTTTTACAAATTGAAGTTTTGTGACAACTGTGAATCAAGCAAGTCTGTCAGCCCCATTTTTCTAACATATGTGCTCACTTCGTGTCTCTGTGTCACATTTTAGTAATTCTCACAATATTGCAACCTTTTTCATAACACTAATGGACACTTACTTAATAGGCTACAGTGTAGTGTAAATATATACTGGGAAACCAAAAAAAAAATTGTGACTTCCTTTATTGCAACAGTCACTTTACTGCAGTGGTCTAGAACTGCAGTTCATTCTCCAAGGTGTGCCTGTAGAGCACATTCCAGCTTGCTTTTCCCTTGTGTGTTGACATATCAGGAATATCTCTGGCTTCACCGTTACCCCTAGAACTAACCCCAGAGGCATACTGCTTCTGCTTCCCTCTGGAGAAGTAAAGTTGGCAGCAGGGCAGGCAGAGAATAGCAATAAATGGATGGACTTGAGCCTGGCCCAGCCTGGAGGTCATTGCCATGGAAACCTGCCCATCAAGAAGGGATATTATCAGCTATCCCAGAAGGAAGGAGCCTGGCCAGGACTAATGAGGACATATTAGGTAGAAAGAAGTGGAAAAAAAGATATAACCAACTCAAGTGTGAAGATGCTGTGGCCCTTAATTCCTGCAAGGAAAGACAGATCATGGCCCTTGCCTGTTGGGAAAGATGGAGTTGGATAGCCACCTACTGATCCCAGTCATCTTTTGTTCCTCAGAGGGGAAAGGGCAGGATTTGGCTGCAGCTCACAGCAACCCCAAAAAACAGAAGTAGAGATTGTTTTTGTAGGCAGACAATCAGAAAGGAAAGCTGCTGGAGCCCATGTAAGGGTTACCTCAAGCTTACAGCCAAGAAACTACCCCATCTGCTCACTGAAATCTTTCCTGAACCCTGAACCCTCACGGTCCCTTCTTAGGGGTAGACTGGCCCACTTAACGAGACTCCCTACTACTCCCAGCCCTGGGGCCAGAGCCTTGCGTTCACACCCTGAGTTAGGAGCCCCTTAGACCAGCATGAGCACAGGGAGTGTGGCAGCCCTCCAGTAGCACTCCCAGACAGCCTATTACTTCTGAACTTCACCAGGGAACATT